CGACCCCCCCCCCCCAAACTACGGGCCTGGGTTACGTACATATATTACATAATATACACATAACCAATAAAGGGACATACTGAATAAAACATGTACAACGTACCTATCTATGTAGATTCCACTTGTGAAAAAAATGCATGATAAAATCAAAGTAGTTGTTTTACATGTTTACCAGTCTTAAAAATGTTGATTACAGAACATATTCAAAGAAACATACATTTGTCAAGTGACAAGCATAAGTCACATATGACGATCATAAGAAACATATATTAATACTCCATTACTAAATATATCATTTTCTCAAACTGTCACCCACAAAATCAATTTCAATATTTACAGTAAATACAACCAAAACAAAGTCAGCTTGGACGTTCAGTTGCGAGACGTAACAAAAAAAACGCAGCCAGTGATACATTTTGAAAATAAAAATACAAAATTAACGCAATCAGAGGCGCCGACCACGCGCGTTGGTAATAGATAAAACGCGTTGTGACACAGTCTCACCATCCTCTTTCACTGACGCAATATAATTATGCTATTTCCCACCGCACTTATATTTAATACATTGACGAAAAACACCACAAGAAAAATGTAAATCAAGCTTGTAATTACAAGTAACTCAACTCGAACGCAATATTCATCACTTTAAAAGTGGATAAATTCGAACCAGCCAGCTCACCCGGTCGTCTTCGTTGATAACTCGTCAATTCACCATAATCGTGGTGGTGAACTGTTTAGCTGATTTTTCAAAAGATGAATATTCAATTCATATTCATCCCGACTTAATTGAATATTATTTCGGAAATTTGCGACATTGTTAAAAAATTCTGTACAGGGATATGTCTGATGTAAACTAATAATACGCAATTATCCAGGCAGTACTAGAAATTATTGCTGATACTAAACATTTTTTTGTATTGGGAAGTTGGATACTTGAATGTGTAGTCCCGGGGAATGTAGTAGACGAGCATAATCGTACTGTCACATGTGTTTCGTCTTAGCCTTGTCTTTTCGTCTTAACCGTCGCAGTCCGCTTCGTTGAATGTTTAGTTTGATAATTTATAAACATATATTCAGTGTGAGACTGTTGCTTTCAAGTTGTGTTAATACAACGATGATTTAAACTTGTCCCTTCCTTTGCCAACGTATTCAATATACGGAAATAGCATGCGTGTGTGCATTTGCGTGAGTGAAAGATGCAGGTGAGTTTTCTTATCGCAACGCGTTCTATTTATTTCAAACGCGTGTTGTCGGCGCCTTCGATTGCGTTTATTTTGTTCTTTCATACTCGAAATCTATCGCTGGCACCGTTTATTTTGTCATGTCTCACAACTGAACGTCCAAGCTGACTTTGTTTTGGCTGTAATATAACCTACAATTTGATATATCGTTATATTGTTTTACGTGTTATTGTAAACGTACTTTACTGCCATAATCTGCGTGCATGCATGATGCGAATATTTGTTCGTACTGGTATGTGCTTTCATCATCACTCGATCTCTTTTGGCGGTGAATTTTTCGCTTTGTTTGACTGTAACTCTCCCACTGTCATACACTCATCTGCCCAATCATGGCATGCTTCTGGTTTAGAACAGGAAGGTCGCTGCTTGGAAATATCATTAGGGTTCAAGTTGACCACCTCATCATCAAACTCGTCTGGTTCTTCTTCGACCGCTAGTTGTTGTCCTAGTAACCAATACGTAGGCATCATACCTCTCCCCTATAACAGAACATGTTTTATGATTGTGTATACAATTTGAATTAATGAGTATTGTGTCTACGAAAGTTAGCATTTCTGAAAAGCACATTTACCCACCTTGATAAGAGTGTCACCTCTAGCAGCCAAAGCAAATATAGACATCTTCTTAAGAATCATGAAAGTGGCTTCACTCAAGTGGATGCGGTTTGCTGTAAAATATCGACAAGAATTTCATAGAGTAGGGCATTTATTATAATCCTGATTGCCAAGGCAAGCTAATGGAGCAAATAGTTTTCAAATCAATATGTTGACAAGTATGGACAGAACAGGAGCTGATAACCTAGGGCCCGTAGCTCATTTCATGCTTATCATTTGAGAAATTTGCTATTCGGGACCTTTGTTGCATATGGCCGCTATCCTGACACTGCCACAGCTCCGGGGTAAATCCCTTGTGGTATTTATTACCAACGGAAGACGTATAGTAATAGTACCAACAACAAATAATGACGTCATCAGTAACACCGACAATCAGATATGCAAATATACGGTTTGATATCAATGGGTTCGCCAGAAACATCTAATTGTTGTTGTTGTTGTTGTTGTTGTTGTTGTTATTTTGCTATCACTCTCACCTCATCTGGCCAGTGTATCAAGAATTTGTTATCATTCTATTCATCCCTATTTCAGAATACGATACACGAAGAGATAGTTATGACAAGATGAAACTGAATATTTGTGTGAGATTGAGGAAGATGCGTTGCATGATAACCTGGACAGAAACTGGGCAGAATAACGCATAACTGGGACAACTCGTCATATACGAAAATCAATATACATGATGTATTCAACTATGTGGTTATAGAAAGTTGTACTTCCTATGAATGTGCAACATCGTACTTACCCAATCCATTTTTCTCTATCTTAGATGCAATGTCAAGAGTCACCGAACACACAGTATCGAGGCATTTTTGTACTGACTACACCTGCCATCACATGACCAGTGTGTATACCCACTCGAATAGCCATCTTAGTGCTTGGCTTGTGTGGCACGACCATATACTTAATACAATTAACTAAATCCAATTCCATGATGGCTATCTCACTCGCATGCCGACTTCCATTTCTATTTGGGATCCCTGTTAATACAAAGCAAAATCAGAAAATTTTATCTCACGTCTTATGTAAAATGCGCCTCATTTGAATGTATGGCATTAAAAGGAAACAGAGCAATATTAGTTCTTAGCACCTCACATTATAGAATAACGAATGGTACCACTTCAAATGTTGATACTTTACCAATGTGTGCCGGATCAGTGCAGCTGTCACCGACCGCTGTGTTGGTGTTATACCTGTCACATCGCAATTGACTGATCTGAAGCGACTATGTAGCTGTCTCTGAACACTTTCACAGTATGTGAGTTATGCTTATCAATACGACTGTCGAGATGCTGGCCAGTGACCTACCTGAAACGACTATATAGCAGTCGCCAACCACTTCCACTGTGTGGGTATCATATTTCTTAATACGACTATCAAAATGCAAGTAGACATTATTCATTATTTCAACAATCTGACTTGGGCTACTTTCTTCACAGAGTTGGGTAAATCCGACCATATCTGAGAAGAATAGCGTTGCCTCTGAGTAAAACTCAGCATTCACAGTCTTGTTGCTGTTCAATTGTATTACAACTGACTTCGGTAATAACTGGTAACGCAGCATCTTTGTATGTTTCCGTTGTTTCATCACGCTTCGGGACTGTTCAGCTAACAGTACAGCATAGTTTTGGATGTCATTTGCCAATTTCTCGATAGTCTTAATTATTATTATACATGTGATTAAAACAAGTGCCATGGTACCAATGCTGGCCCCAAGCTCAGCTTCATCTCGGTGTACAAGGGTTTCCAGATTTATCAATATGATGTCAGCCATTCTTTTTTGACAACCTCTCAAGGTATCTATATACAGCGTCATATTGTCAAACCAATGAGAACTGTCTTGCCAAGATGGGATTCTGGACTTGTTATTGAGTCTGATTGGCTCGCGTAGTTCCTCAATAGTGCCCCGAAAATCGTGATCCAGCTCGTGTACTTTTTTGTTGAGTATTTCACTTATCAGACGCGAGTATTTCTGTGACATCCATATATTCCGTTCTCCGACCTGTATTGAAGGAAATTGAACATGCCATAATGGATGTTGACGAATACAGTATGTTGACGAATACTTATACATAGCATCAACCAAACAAAGAACTGACAGTACCAAAGTAGACATAACATACTAGTACCCAACAATAGTCGTACAGGGTAGTTTACAAACTAACAGAGAGTTGCTGATTCATACAATAGAACAAAAATAAAAATGAAACAAAACAAAAAAACACAATATAAATATAACACCACATGTACACTTATATCAATATACAAGACACGTTTGCAATGTACCTGAAATTTCTGCATATACCAAAGATGGTCTTCATCTCGCGTAAATCCCCCATGGGTATAAAACACTGCTCCCAGTGTTCTTTCAATACCAATCTGTTCCATACCAACAATAAGAAATTGATAGGCCACCAGGGTCTCCCATAACCCTTGACCTTCACATTTACCTACAGCTTCATACAACCAATCGATTAATATTTGAGTTTCATCTGTATAGAAATCAATTACCTGTTATAAAAGAAGAGAATGAGTTATACTCAAGCTCAATGGTCTGGCCCGGTATGCACTGGATTGTCATAGGGCGGCACACATGATCCTTAGGAACGCATCATTATATATGTTGTGAGAGGTTATTGCATGACAATAACTGATAGGTAAGCCGTAGGTAGGCACTGCATGCATCGTGTTTTTCATTTTTCTCTGTGACGAGAAGCAAGGTGTCATTGGCCTTTGGGTTCACATGCGGGTTGAGAGGGCATTACTGGGGTTCTCGGGAACGTTCCATTGTATATACATGTATGTGAGATTTAGATATTATTAAATTACGATTTAGTTTTTCGGTACACATGAGGTCCTTAAGAACTTGCAGTTATACCTGCTGTGGGTACGAAGCTAACAGCAATCGATAATATATTTATTAAACTCTCACCAAAACCAAACCCGTGACAAAAACCATTAGTTTTATGTTCTTTTTCTCCGTGATTTAGTGTTCTCATCCACACACAACTCCGGTGACAGCCATTTTCTTCAGGTCGAACTAGGACAATATGACGTTACCGGAGAAGGTATTCCGAAAACTTGTTGGATACTCCCGTTAAGTGAACTACTCGTCGTCGTCTACTTCAGATGCATGCGTATACTACCCACATTTTTTTAGAGAAATGTACAAATAAATGGCGAAGGGACATTAAAAACAACAGTACATACCAAAATGCTAATAGTAGCCGACGACCAAGTCACCATTTCCTGGCTGTCCCTGGAAATACGTACGGTTTAGCGAGCTACATTTCAGGAAAACAACTTCAAACAGATAGTTTTTGTCACGGTTTTCGCGCTAGTGAGTGTTTAATAAACATATTATCTATAGGTGATAGTTTTTGTTGCGTGCTATATGAAAATGGTGTATTTTTATTGACACATTTAATGACAACAAATGTATCAGGAATGACTAAGGATCGGCACAAGTAGAGCTCTAGACCCACAGTTACAAGCAAATATATACACAATATTATCGTATTACGGTAGCCGTAGCTTACATGAATGCATGTTAGTTTTTGTGCGCAATACTATGAAATATATATACTTAAACAGAGCTTAAATTATTTTTAACTCATTAAATCATTTTTCTTTTGATAATTTCCCACCTCATAAATGGTGGTGTTGTGAATGTCAAGAGTCAGTCGATATTCGAACAGGGACTTCGCAAACTTTTCTTTATTTTCGAAGCGCTGATATGTCCTTGTTCCATACGAAGGCCAGTCATTCAGGCTGTCTAACACTTCGTCTGTTACTGGATACGTGCTAATTAACGCGATCTTTCTTTCGGGCATCGGACGAGCCTGCTCCAACGAACTTATGTAAAGTGCTGTCATGTCGCGTTCAATTTGAAGGCTGTGAACGAGGCTGCCAACTTGGCGACTAAAGCGTACATTTCGTCGTGTCTCAATGGCGTCGATGTTTCGTCTAACGGTAGCTCTGAGGTCTATGATAGCTAAGGCGGCGAGCACAATGATAGGAACTAATGTCAGTGTCAACATTTTCAGCATTTGGGTTCGTTTGCCCGTCTGCGTGTGTGGCGTTGTTCTACATAAACTAACTTTGCCACCAGCAATCTTTGTGTTGGACGATGAACCAACCTGATCACCTGCATCGCTACTGTGTTGGGTTGTGTGATCACTGCCACAGTCCCTGAATAATACAACAAAATGACAACGTTGAAAATAAATAAACTGCATCAATTAATAACAACGTGTACAGTGAAAGGCGGAAACCCGGGACGTTATATACGCTTTTTAATATACTTTTTTATATATATATAAAAAGGCTGAAGGCATGCGCGCGCATGATGGGCATAGGCAATATTGAGCTCTTTAGCCAATCGCTATTAAATATTTTAATTTGAATGCAAGATAATGATTGGTATTTTCAAATTTGTATAAATATGCTTATAGATTTGGGTACAGTTTTCTGCTTTTCACTCAGGCTGTATATCAGTCGTAGTTGAAATCCAGCAATTTACATGCTGTGGGTGAAAATAAAGGTAACCAAGGACGATAGAATGAGAACAACTCTTTCTATGATCTTTGATGTTGCACAAACTTCTCGCAGTCTGTCTATAACAGTCTGTCTTCTCCGAGTCCTCTGTCTATGTAGTCGTCCAGATAACGTTTACACTAGAAGTTTTATGAGAATGACCACCACAACTACAATCCAGTGTAAAATATGACCAAATGAGTTCAGAATAATTGTGATTGAACACTTTCATTGTCTAAATCTAATAAATACGTTTATTTGAAGGGCATAATAAATTATTAAACAGAATGCCGACCCATTTTAAAAATATTTCTTTTATGAAATCCTCGTTCGTTTACATTCAAAATCGCTCACAAACTTGAAATTTTCCCTTTGCATTTAGAAAGTCGCTCATTATTTCTTTGTTTGCACCCGTGGACAAGCGAAGTTTTCAACACTCGCCATTTGTCCGGGTAAACGAGAATGCTCATTCATCTCACGAGTCTACGCATGCGCAATAACATGATTCCGTTGCACAGTACTAAGCTCTTTGCATTGTTGTAAACCTCTAAAAAAAGGGGGGGGGTGGTCAACAGATATGCGTCATTCGTCCGTGAAATGGTACGGGATATGGAGAAACGATTTTTTGTCAAACGCCCATCGAAAATTCTAACCTATCACGATCCACGTTATGACATAAGTTCATCCGATTGGTTGGAAGATGTTCTCGCTGTTTCATTGGTACCTACAACTAATCCAGTCGAGTATGAAACATATCAAACTGTTGGATAGCGATTTCAAATAGCCTAGGAAAATATTCTATGTTCTCGTGTAATCAGGTGTTCACATGCAAGGGATTTTGTGCAAAAATGACGAATGTGTTTGAATTTAGCGGCTGGCTTAATGTTACCCAATGATCGTTTGGCAGTCAGTGAACGTTTTGTATATATCCCCCTCCTCGATTTGTAGAAACATGAAATACCCTTGTCTCTTTATTAATTTTCAAGACGTATTCGAGATAATTACCCCTATAGTGAGTTCAGAGAAACCGTTTTCGTCACAACAATAAATTCGATATGCTATTTTTATATAGTTTCGAATATTGAATGGCAATGTAATTTCTTCATTCGGTAGTAGAATCTATTTTGCGATTCAACCATGGTAATGTTTTTCGCAGTTTTGACCATTTATTTTACACTTCGTATTTCAGAATTCGTTCGTGGAAGCTTTAAGTTTTGAATACATTATACCGAATGCACGATTTGTAATTAATTTGAATATGCCAACGTGAGCAATGGCATTGAACCAGTACCAATGACTGCGAAACCTTTATTTCAGTTACATGTATGTGACTACCTATAATTATAATTATATACCTATAAAGTTAATTGCAATATTTATGCTCTATTTTTTAATATTGAAATACTGACAGCTGTGACCCCTTTAATCTTCCCATACGCAGTAAGTAAATAAGGTCCAAAACCACAGGAGTTTGTTAACTCATGGCGAGACCCCAGGTTGAAAAAGAAATTAAATGTAGGATGTTCGTCAATGTATTTAACACCCAAAATATCTATATTTATTACCCAGAATACCTAGGTCACGTAATTTATAAAATCATATCGAATTTTTACGTTCAAAGAATATTAATTGAAGCACCACTGATATTCGAACAGAATACAGGAAACACGCCAGATCACAGTTTGAATAATACAAAATAAGAGAATTACACTCCAGTTTGAATAACATAGAATATAAGACATACGCCCCATCCAAATTTTAAAAGTTATATCGATGAAATAGAGTACGAAACCATGCGAACGGACGACGATAAAACCATATTTATATAGCGCTCAAATCCCCGACTACGTCGTGCTTAAAAGCGATGCACATTATTTCCCTGGTCAATTGGTCATATACTCGGTCTCAACACCTAGAGAGGCATATAGTCCCGTGGCCATATACAAACGTGTATGGGATAGGTACCAATTATTCAATGCCAGGTTCCCATACTTCTGGGACGGGAAAAGCAGTAAGAGAAAATGAACTTGCCCAAGAATACAGCCCCATGTTACAGCCATGGCTCGAAAGCACAATGGTCTATGGTGTATTCATGCCTCAATACACAAAACCCAGCGATAAATGGAATTGATGGCGTGATCTGATAACCATAATTAACAGATTATCTGTATCTTGCTAAATTACTAGTAGTTTTCGTCATCATTGCCGTTGTTTAGGAGAGTGAGAACATGTCACACGCACTCGCCAGAGATAAAAGAAAAATATTCTTCCGTTTTTTGAAAAAAATGGATTGAACAGAGAAACGGATAACCTGACATACCGCATGCATTGGGCCTTATATATCAGACCAATAGAACTTACACAGTAAGTGTGCACCAACAGAAATTAAAGAAGTATCAATTAAGTTCAGTAAGCAAAAAGCAAAAGAATGCAAAGCAAAAACTGCACAATTAGAACAAAAATTAAAACAACTGAATAATGAAATTGCTGTGAACCCAACAAGAGCTGTAGCACAACAAATTGAAGAAATAACAGAAAAATTAGAACAAGAATATAAATATGTAACCGAAGGAC